TTCCCACTCTCTTATTATAAGGATCTATTGCACATTTGCCCCCCCCCCCCTGGTGGTGCAGCAGGTTAAACTGCTGAGCTGCTGAGCCCCTGCTGTTAAGCCCAGCTCCTGCCAACCTAGAAGTTTGAAAACATACAAATATGAGTAGATCAATGGGTGCCGCTCCAACAGGAAAGTAACAGTGCTCCATGCAGTCATGCTGGCCACATGACCTAGGAGGTGTCTATGGACAATGCTGGCTCTTTGGCTTAGAAATGGAGATGAGCATCACCCTCCTGGAGTTGGACACGACTAGACTTGGTGTTAAGGGAAAACCTTTACCTTTTATTGCACATGTAAGTAGGAAATGAAAAAGAGGTGTGGCATCAAGTGAATCCTTACTTAGTGATAGCTTTTCAAAAAGTTAGCATGGAAAATAATGCATCTCTATAACTCTGTGATGTGTAATTGACTTTTGATCATATTTTTGTGTAATATTAAAGAGGACATGGCAAAAGGTTTAATTTTAACGGTATTCAGTCATTGCTTTAAGGGGCCGCAGTTGCGCAGCAGGTTAAACAGTTGAACTGTTGAGTCTGCTGACCTAACGGTTGGCAGTTCAAAGCCACGGGTCGGGGTGAGCTCCCGCTGTTAGACATAGCTCCTGCCAACCTAGCAGTTTGAAAACATGCAAATGTGATTAGATCAATAGGCTTTGGCGGTAAGGTAATAAAGGTGTCCACGCAGCCATGCCGGCATCATGACCAGGAGGTGTCTACAGATAACAGGCTTCAAAATGGAACAAGAACACCTCCCCATGGGCAGAGTTGAGTACCACCTCCAGAAAGCCGGACATGAAAGGGGAAGCCTTTACCTTTATTCTGTGTATTTGTATGTCATTGTTATTTCACTGTATTTAAAGGCATTGAATGTATTCCTGTCTGTGTATGTTGTAATCCTCTCTGAGTCCCCTTGGGGAGATAGAGCAGAATATAAATAAAGCGTTGTTGTTGTTGTTGTTGTTGTTGTTGTTAATATTTGACTCTTTTGTCCATGCCTTCGCATACTGAATAACTAGTAGAATTTTAGATCAGTAGAAAAATCCTGGTGGATGTGCTTCTGTAGCCTTAGAACTTTGCTTTTGCTAACTAGGCCAGGCATGTCGTAAGAAGACTGGATGGACTTAAAAAGAAACTCATTTTTCTAGCTTACTATTTCATATTTTTTAGCCTGAAATTATATTATGAAAAAACTCAATGATTGCATTTAAATATTATAAATGTTGTTGTTCATTCGTTCAGTCGTCTCCGACTCTTCGTGACCTCATGGACCAGTCCACGCCAGAGCTCCCTGTCGGCCGTCACCACCCCAGCTCCTTCAAGGTCAGTCCAGTCACTTCAAGGATGCCATCCATCCATCTTGCCCTTGGTCGGCCCCTCTTCCTTTTGCCTTCCACTTTCCCCAGCATAATTGTCTTCTCTAGGCTTTGCTGTCTCCTCATGATGTGGCCAAAGTACTTCAACTTTGTCTCATCCTTCCCTCCAATGAGCAGTCGGGCTTTATTTCCTGGAGGATGGACTGGTTGGATCTTCTTGCAGTCCAAGGCACTCTCAGAACTTTCCTCCAACACCACAGCTCAAAAGCATCGATCTTCCTTCGCTCAGCCTTCCCTAAGGTCCAGCTCTCACATCCGTAGGTGACTACAGGGAATACCATGGCTTTGACTAGGCGGATCTTTGTTGCCAGTCTGATGTCTCTACTCTTTACTATTTTATCGAGACTGGACATTGCTCTCCTCCCAAGAAGTAAGCGTCTTCTGATTTCCTGGCCACAGTCTGCATCTGCAGTAATCTTTGCGCCTAGAAATACAAAGTCTGTCACGGCCTCCACATTTTCTCCCTCTATTTCCCAGTTGTCAATCATTCTTGTTGCCATAATCTTGGTTTTTTTTATGTTTAGCTGCAACCCAGCTTTTGCGCTTTCTTCTTTCACCTTGATTAGAAGGCTCCTCAGCTCCTCCTCACTTTCGGCCATCAGAGTGGTGTCATCTGCATATCTGAGGTTGTTAATGTTTCTTCCAGCAATTTTCACCCCAGCTTTGCATTCATCAAGCCCCGCACATCGCATGATGTGTTCTGCATACAAGTTAAAAAGGTTGGGTGAGAGTATGCAGCCTTGCCGGACGCCTTTCCCAATCTCGAACCAGTCTGTTGTTCCGTGGTCAGTTCTTACTGTTGCTACTTGGTCCTTGTACAGATTCCTCAGGAGAGAGACAAGGTGGCTTGGGATGCCCATCCCACCAAGAACTTGCCACAATTTATTATGATCCACACAGTCAAAGGCTTTAGAATAGTCAATGAAACAGAAATAGATGTTTTTCGAAACTCCCTGCCTTTCTCCATTATCCAGCAGATACTGGCAATTTGGTCTCTCGTTCCTCTGCCTTTTCTAAACCCAACTTGTACATCTGGCAACTCTCGTCTCCATGTATTGCTGGAGTCTTCCTTGCAGAATCTTGAGCATTACCTTATTGGCATGTGAAATAAGTGCCACTGTACAAAAGTCTGAGCATTCTTTAGCATTTCCCTCTTTTGGTATAAGTTGATTTTTTCCAGTGTGATGGCCATTATTGTGTTTTCCATATTTTCTGGCATATGGCATGCATCACCTTGGACAGCATAATCTTTTAAGATTTTAAACAGTTCAGCTGGGATCCCGTCATCTCCTGCTGCCTTGTTGTTAGCAATGCTTCTTAAGGCCCATTCAACCTCACTCCTCAGGATGTCTGGTTCTAATTCATTCACCACACCGTCAAAACTATCCTCAATATTATTATCCTTCCTATAGAGATCTTCTGTATAGTCTCGCCACCTTCTCTTGATCTCTTCAGCTTCTGTTAGGTCCCTGCCATCTTTGTTTCTTATCATACCAATTTTTGCCTGAAATTTACCTCCAATGTCTCTAATTTTCTGGAAGAGGTCTCTTGTCCTTCCTATTCTGTTGTCTTCTTCCACTTCCATGCATTGCTTATTTAAAAATACTTCCTTATCTCTTCTGGTTAACCTCTGGAATTGTGCATTTAACTGGGCATATCTTCCCTTATTTCTGATTACTTTTGCTTTCCTCCTTTCTTGGGCTACTTCCAGTGCATCAGCAGACAACCATTTTGCTTTCTTTGTTTTCTTTTTCTTTGGGACATACTTTGTTGCAGCTCTCCTGAACAATGTCTCGGACTTCTGTCCATAGTTCTTCTGGGACTCTGTTTACTAAATCTAGTCCTTCAAATCTGTTCTTCACTTCCACTGTATATTCGCTAGGAATGTTAGTGAGGTCATATCTAACTGGTCTGTGTATTTTCCCTGATCTCTTTAGTTTTATTCTAAATTGGGCAATAAGAAGTTCGTGATCTGAGCTACAGTCAGCCCCAGGTCTTGTTTTCACCGACTGGATGGATGTCCGCCACCTTTGGCTGCAAAGGATGTAGTCAATCTGATTTCGGTGCTGACCATCTGGTGAAGTCCATGTATAAAGCCGTCTTTTAGGTTGTTGGAAGAGAGTGTTTGTTATACACAGAGAGTTTTCCTGGCAAAATTCTATCAGCCTGCGTCCCGCTTCATTTTGTTCTCCCAGACCATGCTTGCCTGTGATCCCAGTTGTCATTTGACTTCCCACCTTGGCATTCCAGTCTCCTGTAATGAAAATAATGTCTCTTTTTGGTGTATTATCCAGTAGGTCCTGCAGATCCTCACAGAACTGATCTACTTCTGCTTCTTCAGCAGCTGTGGTTGGGGCGTATATTTGGATCACTGTAATGTTGAAAGGCTTTCCTTGCACTCGAATTGAGATCATTCTGTCATTTTTTGGGTTGTATCCAAGCACCGCTTTAGCGAATTTCTTATTAAGTATGAAGGCTACTCCATTTCTTCGATGTTCCTCTTGTCCGCAGTAGTAGATCTGGTGGTCATCTGATGTGAAGTGGCCCATTCCAGTCCATTTCAGTTCGCTGACCCCCAGAATGTCTATCTTTAGTCTTGACATCTCACCAATAACAAAATCCAATTTGCCCTGGCTCATAGATCTTACATTCCAGGTTCCTATGGTGTGTTGATCTTTAGAGCATCGGATTCGTCGTTCACCTCCAGTACCGTCGGCCGCTAGCCTTCCTTTCGGCTTTGAGCTAGCTGCGTCATCACATCTGGGGCTAGTTGAACTTATCCTCTGCTCATCCCCAGTAGCATTTTGGCCATCTTCCGACCTGGGAGTCCCATCTTCCAATGGCATACCGACATATCTCTGGTTGTACTGGTCCATTTAGTTTTCTTGGCAAGGATACTGGGGTGGTTTGCCGTTGCCTTCCCCAGGGATCACGCTTGGTCTGACCTCTCTGCCACGACCGTCCCGTCTTGGGTGACCCTTCACGGTTTCGCTCATGACATCATTGAGGTGCTCAAGCTCCAGCGCCACAACAAGGCGGTGATCCTTTGCTTATTATAAATATTGGCCACTTATTAAATAATAACAGATTAAAATCCTAAAACATGGGAGTTGGAGTTTTAAAAAGATGTTTAGCTAAAGAGTGCTGCTGTCCCACCAGACTGCAATTCCAAGATTCCATAATATTGAGCATGGCAGTCAAAGTGGTGTCAAATTGCATTACTTCTGCAGTGTGGCTGAACCCTTTGTCCGTTTCTTCAGATACATGGTGTGACTTCATTTCACACATATGTAGAAATAGACTTAGTTTATTAAAGCTTGTGCTACTAACTTCATTTTCTCAGTCTCTAAGGTGCTACAAGATCCCTTTGCATATTGATATTCTAGACTAACACAGCTATGTCCTTGAATATCAGGTCAAGTGAATTATGGCTGCATTGTTAGTTTGTTTGACTTTTGCATGCTTCTGCAGCAGAGTACTCTGTTCACTTGCTTATTCCAATTTTTATTCCTGATTTACAGTTGACTGGTTTTTGTTAAGTGGTTTTGACCAAAATAAAAAAAAACCTTTCTCAATTTTTTTTTAGGGGATGCAGAGAGCTACCAATGTCACCTATCAAGCCCATCATGTCAGTCGAAATAAGAGGGGCCAGGTAGTGGGGACCAGAAGTGGTTTCCGGGGCTGCACAGTCTGGCTAACAGGTACAATTTCACTGCTGGCAAGTCCACTCCATTTAATTTTTCATGACTGCATTTTCTCTTTGACACTTTAAAATGGTGGCAGTATGGAGAGATACTAAATTGGTCTTTGATCTTGTTGTTTTTAAATTGTTTTTAAATTGTGTTAGATTTTAGCCTGTTCTTGTAAGCCGCTTCGAGCCCCAGAGGAGTGCTGGCATGCAAGTTTGAATAAAAAATAAATGAATATCCAAAAATTTGCCTAATAGTTCTCCCAAGAGCCCAAAAAGCATTTCATATTGGCAGTCTTGTATTGAGGCACTGTTTTATACTTGTTGCACACTTGTTTGTGAAATTGTAATAAATGGCTGAAAATTTTAGTTATATCTAAATGAATTATTCTGTTCACCAACAAAGTTGGCTACACAGAAAATAGGCTAGGTAAACACCTAGTAGTCCTTATTTAAAATACAAGGGTTATCCAGAAAGTAAGGTTACAAAGCACGTAGCTCTTGTGGGGAATTTTCATGGGGAAGTTGGTATCACTGCCATGTAGCGGGAGGCCAGTGGAAGCAAACGAGCAATACCAGTCGTCAGTAGCTCATCTACTGGTGTTGTGGTTAAGGTTAGAGATAAGCGCCCTCCTCTGTTTCCCTCCAAGTGTGAGGTTTGCACTGTAATACACTATATATAATGAGAGGTCTTGGCAATAGGATCCAAGTCTAAACACAAAATTCACTTATGTTTAATATACACCTACATCATACACATAGCCTGAAAGTAATTTTATAAAATGTTTTATATTTTTATACGGCATTGAATGTTTGCCTCTTTCTATATGGTGTAAGCCACCCTGAATCCCCACTGGGGAAATAGGGCAGGATAGAAATAAAGTCTTATCAATTCATTCATTTTAACATTTTTCAGATTGAGAAAGGGTTTGGTGTACATTGAACCATCAGAAAGCAAATGCTTCACTATCTTAGCAATACTTTCCATGTTGACAGTTTTGGATTGTGAAGCATTTCAGATTTCTGGCCTCCTTTCCCCCCTTCAAAACTAGTCTGTTGTTGCTTGATGCTTGCTTACTGTTGTTATGCTGCTTTATGCTATTTTAATTTGTAATTTGTTATTCCTTTGCTTTTAATTGTATGTTGCTTGGGCTTGGCCCCATGTAAGCCGCCCCGAGTCCCTTCGGGGAGATGGAGGCAGGGTAGAAAAATAAAGTTGTTGTTGTTGTTGTTGTTGTTGTTGTTGTTCATTATCATCATCATCATTATCAAGATATTTTCAACCTGTATGAATGTTGATGCTTCATGTTGTTTCCAAGTTATGATAACTATTTCAGTTTTTTTACAGAGTTCTTTTCAATACATTGTGACAAAAAAGAAACAAAATCATACAGAAAATAATAGAAAAGTAATTAAGCAAATTAATATAGTACAATTTCAATGGTAGCTGCTGGGGATTGATTTTCAAACACAATATGAATATATTACTTTTTAAAACTGACTTTCTGTCCTCTATCTACACATGTACATTTGCCATGATTAGTGTAACTGATATTTCCAACATTGTAGAAATTTCACTGATTTAGTGAGTAAAATAGTATATTTAAGTAGTTTGAGAGAGTACCTAATTACCTTTTAAGGTACTGCAGAGGAATAAACCTAGTTTATAAAAAATACATTCACAGTATTAAATTTGGGACATTTGAGAAGAACTGTAAGCATATAGGAAATCTATAGAAACAATATGGTTCAGGCTTTAGTCCTAAAAGTATAAGTGCCATTAACATGTACATTATTAAGATGATGTACCTGTTTTCCTAAATGTGATAAATTAAGGAAGCTTTCATGATTTCAAAATGCTAGTGCATCTGTTTTTTATAAACTGTATTGCTAAACTTGTGAAATTAATTGTATGCACAGGTGTGTGTCTCTGTGTGTGAGAGAGTGTTTTCAGGTCACCCATCTCCTTATTTTGACCCCATGTTCATTTTTCTTAGGTGATTAATGGTTATAGATGGGTTTGCCATTGCCTTCCCCTGAAATATAGCTCCTTGAATTCTTTGGTGGTTTCCCATGTACTAATTTTATTTGTTTATGATATTTATATCCCACCTTTCTCTACCCCGAAGAGGACTCAAGGCGGCTTACAGATAGGTGAAAATTCAATGCCTTAACCATAGTATACAACTATAATACATTTAAATTAAAATTAAAAATCAAAATTAAATACATTAAAACATTATAAAACATTACTATCACTATAGCCAACTAACCAAGCTTGAGTCTGCTTAGTCTCCAAAAATCAGATGGGCTGTGTGCCTATTTAGTCCCTACTATCTTCTGACAATTGGGTTAAAAATCTCAATTGAGGTATCTAAGGAATATGGGTACTATGTTTGATTTTGTTTTGGACTAATATAGGGCTATCTGGAGCTGGGAAGACCACAGTCAGCATGGCATTGGAGGAGTACTTAGTGTGTCATGGCATCCCATGTTATACTTTGGATGGTGACAACATCAGACAAGGCCTCAATAAGAACCTAGGCTTCTCCCCAGAAGACAGGGAAGAGAATGTCCGTCGAATTGCTGAAGTTGCGAAGTTGTTTGCCGATGCTGGCTTAGTTTGCATCACTAGCTTTATTTCCCCTTATGCCCAGGTAAGCCTCATACAGGAGTCATGTATAATATTGGATGTCATTGCCATTTCTATGTATATGGTCAAAATGTGATTTTGTTTGTTTGAAATAATGAACAAATATCTGCTATGATCTGAAGAAGTCATCATGTGCATCAGAATATTTGGTTTGACCCCATTGTATCTGATACAATGGCAACCAGATTACCATTTTATTTATTTGTGTTTTTTCTACTTCTGTAGAGGTCTTGTGCCTCTTATCCTTGTGAAAGTATAGGATAGACATAGTTGGCTATGTTGTGTGCTGTAGAACTTTATTTCTATAATTTTCCCTAGTCTTCATTGCTTTTCAGGACCGCAACAATGCTAGACAAATTCATGAAGTTGCCAGTCTGCCTTTCTTTGAAGTATTTGTGGATGCTCCATTGTATGTTTGTGAGCAGAGAGATGTGAAAGGCCTCTACAAAAAAGCTCGTGCTGGAGAAATTAAAGGTGGGTCACAGTGTCACCTTTGTGGCAATTATTTTAACACACACATCCTTTGAATCTGAGAGTGTGTGACTTGCCCAAGATCACCCAGTGAGTTTCCATGGATTCAAACTCTGGCCTCCCAGTATTCTCGTCTAACACCCAAATTATGACTACATCAACAACATACTGACTCTATATTACTAGCATGTGAATACATTTTATACCAGTGTTCCTGGTTCTATTTAGTGCCCTGTGTAATAGGACTATGTGTGACTATTTCCTTTCCCTTTTTTAGGTTACTAAGAGAATATATTTGTTATTATGTATACTCTTCTTGTATTGAGGTTTCCTTTGTCGCTTATGTAGGCAACTTAATATTGTGCGCTGTGTTGATAAACGTAATAGTCATAAAATAATCTCATGGAATGCATGTACAGGTTGAGTACCTCTAATCTGGAAATCCAAAATCCTAAATGATCTGAAATCTGATTATTTTTTGTGGCCAGCTTCCTGCTTCTGTTTTGTGGTGGAGGCTTTGATGCTTCTGCATCATTTGCAAGGTGATAGCCAGAAGTTGGTAGGCTTACCAGAGATCTCCTGCACAGTACTGTATTGCCTTCCTACTCAAATATCAAGTCTCTTATGTCCTCAGTTTCTCAAATCCATAGTCTCCCCCCCCTTCTCGGTTCTCAACTTGTACTCAACATAAATAGTGAATGAACAAGATGCAAGGCTGGAGAAAAAGGATCAAGAATGATGCAAGGTTCTGTGAAATGGCAAGAGGCATAGGTATCCAAGTTACTTTTTTATATATATATGCAAATATTTGAAAATTCAAAGAAATAAACACAATCCAAATCCGAAATACTTCAGACAAAGGATGCTCAATGTGTACTTATACCAGTGGTTCCCAGCCTTTTTTTTGACTAGGGACCACTTGACCAATGACCACTTGACCAGGGACCCCTCTCCAACATGTGTACCAAAAGGGTTAAAAATCAGTTTTTGGTCAACTTTAGATTTGGTTTGGTTATTTGGGCTGCTGATTCAGAAAATTGCTTTGGATAGACCACATCAGCTCTAGTTTCTGATACAGAACATACGCCATAGTTCTGTATCAGAAAGTTGTAATCTGCTCGCCTACAGAAAACCATATTTAATAGGCCTCAGCACTTTAAGAGGATTTCGCGAGACTCTCATTGCAACAGTGTAGTTATGGTGAAGCCACAGACCATATTTTACTTCTTGTGGACCAGTGGTGGTCCGTGGACTACAGGTCCGGAATCACTGACTTATACTAATAATGGTAAGAGTAATAAAGGGATATGCAACCAGTCTCCTATCCTTACACAACACTTAAAAAAAAACCCCCAAACAAACAGCCTTCCATTGATGACAGAGACTTTAAAAACAGTCACACACTTCTGTGCTATGAGGGAAGGGGCTTTGGGAAGTGAAGATGCTGGAAATAGAAGGTTTAAGTGTCCCCCCCCCCCCCTGAATAGACTGGTCTGTAGTCCAAACTGGGGCTCTATATACTTAGTGTAAAGATGAACAAGAATGGAAATTGAATACAGTATAAAGATGAGCAAGAAGGAAAATGCAATGCTATGTAATCAATCTGAATAAAAGAAAGTAGAAGATCCCACTGAAAAGGAGTAGCATGTTAAGCTTTGTCTCTCTTGCAGGTTTTACTGGTATTGACTCAGAATATGAGAAGCCTGAAGCCCCTGAGCTGGTACTCAAAACGGATTCCTGTGATGTTAACGACTGCATTCAGCAAGTTGTGGAGCTTCTCCAAGAAAGGGTATGGAGTCTCGTTTTGCTTGCTTACTTTTGGTTGGTGACATGCTTCTCTGAGATACATTTTGTCTGACCCTCTTTCAACCTGAGAACCCAAGTTCAACCATAGAAGATTTTCCTTTATTCAGTGGGATGTCTTTTAAATAAGTTATCATTCTGACCCATTCTAGCGTTGTGATTTTGCCTGAGGGCACCGCACTGCATATTATATTCTGTTCTATTTGTTTTTAATGGGAAAGAGGATGACATATTTTTGTCTGGACTGCAATAGTTCAGACCCAAAGGATAGAAAATTATAGATATCCTGGAGCAAATGTTCTCAGCTAAGTTATATTTGTCCTTTTTTCTGATTTTACTACTCAAGATAATTGGTTTTAGTGCAGTTTCTCATTAACAGGTCAAAAGGCTCCCAGGCTTTGTGAAATGTTGTTTGTGATGTACTTTCTAGGATATGCATCCTGTTTATGACATTTTTTCAACTGAGCATTGTTCACTTGGCTCCATCCCTTGCAGCCACTGAAGATGATTCTTCACACAACTAGTCATCCAAAGAATGACTAGCTGAGCAGTCAGACTTCAAATAAAACTGTTTGAAGCTGTTTCAAAAGGCTTAATAAAGCAGTCTCTTTTTCTTTGAAAAAGACAGTGCCAAAGTGTGATGCTAAAATTAAAATGGGCAAATTATTAGCAGCATATGGTAATGGTAATCGTACAAATTTGAATGAGGGCCATGGTTTCATAAACTGCTTTCCTCCCAACAAAGATTAGGAACCTATGATATTGTGAAAATAAAGAATTTATTTATACATCTGAAATCCTAAGGACAAGAAATGTTTTGGATTTTTGAATTTTGTAATACATGTACATATTTGCATATACCTACATAATGAGCTAACTGGAAGATGGGACCTAGGTCTAAACAGGAAATTCATTTATGTCTAGTCTATGCTGTATACATATAGACTGAAGATAGTTTTATAAAGAGGACATTTGTGGCACATACTTTGTGATGATTGAAAGGTTACTATATCTCAACCCTGGGAAGGATATGTTGAAGCACAAAGTCTTGCAAGTTACATTTTGCTAAATACTTATTTTAGAGCAGTAGTTCTCAACCTTCTGCAACCCCTTGATACAGTTAGTTCCTCATGTTGTGGTGACCCCCAACCATAACATTATTTTAGTTGCTACTTCATAACTATAATTTTGCTACTGTTATGAATCATAGTGTAAATATCTGATATGCAGGAAGTATTTTCATTCACTGCACCAAATTTGGCACAAATACCCAATATGCCCAAATTTGAATAATGGTGGGTTTGTGGGGGGGGGGGATTGATTTTGTCATTAGGGAGTTGTAGTTGCTGGGATTTATAGTTCACCTATAATCAAAGAGCATTGTGAACTCCACCAATGATGGAATTGAACCAAACTTGCCACACAGAACTTCCATGACCAACAGAAAATACTGGAAGGGTTTGGTGGGGCATTGATCGAGTTTTGGAGTTGTAGTTCACCTACATCCAGAGAGCATTGGGGACTCAAACAATATGGATCTGGTCCAAATTTGACATGAATACTCAATATGTCCAAATGTGAACACTGGTGGAGTTTGGGGAAAACAGACCTTGTCATTTGGGAGTTGTTGCTGGGATTTATAGTTCACTTACAATCAAAGAGCACACTGAACCCCATCAATGATAGAATTGGGCCAAACTTCCCACACAGAACCCCTATGAGCAACAGAAAATCCTGTATTTTCTGATGGTCTTTGATGACCCCTCTGACACCCCCCTTGTTACTCCCCCAGGGGTCCTGACCCCCAGGTTGAGAAACACTCTTTTAGAGCATGGATTCATTTATTCAAATGAATATGACTTTCTTCCTCATGGTCTCTGTGAAATTGCACATATGGAGAACTACCAGATGTGCACGTTTCACAGATGACCACTTAAAGAAACACGGTTACAGGTAAGCAACCATTCCTTCTTTCTCGTGGTGTCTGCGAAATTGCATGTATGGTAGTTCTCCATATGTGTAAATTTCACAAATGACCACTTGAAGAAAAACGGTTAGATGTTAGCAACCATTCCTTATTTATTAGCCTCTCAAGATAAAGACATTTAAACAAATATGTATTGAAGTAAGCTAGGTTTGGAAAATAATGGATATGTTAGACATGCGATCTTTTCAAACCTCTTAAAATGTGATTCTTAGACTCTGGTCTGCAATGTCCTTCACGTTCTTTGCAAAACAGCTGTGTAAATTAAAAGATAGTAATGATCCCTGAATGGCAGATGAATTTTCTTTCTATACTGTAGGCACATGTGAACGCCTGGTTGAAATACATTTATGGTAGTTTCTCCATGCAACATATGAAAGTCATCCGCTATACTTTCTTAGTTTTCCAGTACAGTCTTAGCAGCTGTACTCACAGCAAAAGACAACCCTCCCCATAAAATATGTTCAAGAAAGCAGAACATAACATGATCAATATAAAACAGGCAGGGGCTAAATTTATAGCAAGCAATAATTCAAAGACCTACATTTCTCTTTGCATAGTTAAAAATTGCCCTTTAAACTCATGAAAGTAACACAAAGACACAGACTTTCAAAACCTGGTGATAATATTGAAACTCTTTGCCTGAGGCCAAAAGGATATAAAATCAAAACTCCTATGTGGATTGGCTGAATCTTTCTATTGTGAGCAGTTAGTGCTCTGGAGACCTTCAGCATCATGGAACTGATCCTATGATCAGTGTCGCATTTCTTGAATATTAATGATGAAACTTTTAAGAAGTTATTCAAACATATTTGTTCTTATTTGGAGTTCAGAATCCAATGTGAGCATCATTTCAAGTATTAAAATGCTGTTCAAAATGCTGATAAGGTAGAGAAATATGATGATCTACAAAAAATCAAACTAGATGAGTTTCTCCCCCAGTATAAACAAACATTAATCCTATGTGTTATGCACTACTTCTTGTAACCCCCCTCGATGGACTGTCAACTTGTCATGGTGAATGAATGAATGAATGAATGAAAAAATGTTTCTTGTAACATATTATTTGTTAGAATAGGGTTTCATGATATTTATTAATATGAGATCTGTCCCAAACGTAAAGAGAATGCCTTTAAATAACTACATGTTTGCAATTTCATGGAGAATGTATACAACTCTGTTTTTCAAATGCTCCAAAACTCTGTAAGTAAAATGCTTGATTCATAGTCAGTCTGGGTATCACAGACTCCTTGTGAAAAACTCAGTTTGAATTAAATATTTATGATCAGCATGGATTCCACTCTTGATTTGCTCATTTGGACCTTCTTTGGTCAAGGTTGCCTTTGAAGACTGTTTGGAAGCTCCAAATGGTCCAATGAGCGGCAACCAGATTGCTCACCGGAGCAATGCACAGGAAGCATACAACCCTCCTGTTGTGTCAGCTACACTGGCTGCCAATCTGCTACTGAGCACAATTCAAAGTGCTGGCTTTACTCTATAAAGCCCTAAACGGTTCTGGCCCAGTTTACCTGTCTGAACGTATCTCCCCCTATGAACTGTCTCAGAGATTGAGATCATCTGGAGAAACTCTGCTCTTGGGCCCGCCTCCTTCGCAGGCGCGATTGGTGGGGATGAGAGACAGGGGCTTTTCAGTGGTGGCTCCTCGGCTATGGAACTCCTTCCCCAATGATATTAGATCAGCCCCTTCCCTCCTGACTTTCAGAAAAAAAGGTGAAAACATGGCTTTGTGACCAAGCCTTCGGCAACTAATACAGGGCAATAGATGACTTGGATTTATGTATAACAGTCATTGGAATGGCCCAACTTTGATTGTGGATAACATGATTTTATAGCTGTAAGTGGTACTGTTTGTGTTTTAATTGCTTTTAACCTTATTTAGATTTTTAACAAAATATTATTTAATTGTTGAATTGTGTAAGGCATTGAATTTTGCCTTTGCTGTAAGCTGCCTTGAGTCCCCTTTGGGGTCGAGAAGGACAGGATATAAATATAGTAAGTAAATAAATAAATAAATAAATAAATAAGGTGACTGGGAAGTGTGACGCTCTGAACTCTATCTTTTGGTTGTGGGATCATACTCAAAAAACCAAGTTACCACTCCCAATTATCACTTGCTGAAGAAAATCGGAGTCACTTGTCACACGATTCCAGAGTTGCAAAGAAACCAATACACAGTTGTCCTTTTGTTCATCAGACAAATTCTTTGAGATGAGTTTTGCACAAATGTTTCTCATGTGCAGATCTTTGGCGGATGTTCGTTTTTGAAAGTCCTACTCTCTCTGCAATTATCACACATTCAAACATTGGCCCCTATACAGAACCTCGAAACGACATTAGTCTCACATTGGGTGTTGAGACTGAAGAATGCTGTGCGTTCTGTTCATCCTTAATGCTTTCCTTTCCATCCTTGCACACCTTGTGTTACCTGAAGACCTGAAGATAAAACAGCCCAACTATAAGCTGTCCTCAACAACTGCAATATTTTGGAAACAATTTTTTCCCCAAGTTTCACACAGAATTTGATCATGTCACACTGTTCCAGACTGTTCTGCATTTTCACAATTACATACTTTTGCTAACATGCCGACTACTACAAAAGCATGGGCTCAACTGATGAAGGTCAAACTGTGTGCCTGGGTTCACCCTCCACTTGTCTCAACCCCCACTTTCCTTTCCTGACCCTTCTGCACTGGTCAAAAAATGATTCTCCTTGCTTTAGAGACATAACACATATTTGTAGGAATAGCTACAATTTGTATGGTTATAATGTGAGTAGTTCTCCAAAATTGTCTAGAGTATAAACACATTAGGGGCAGGGCAGCTTGTTTCAAATTAGTCCAATTTGTTCATGTAATGCAATGCATATTCTGGCTATTGTCTAATAGAAATGTATTCAGTATTCCAATTAAATATGTCGTTTACTATGTTTTGTGTTATTTTCCTAGGACTTTTTAATGATACTCTTGACATATAATCAGTGT